AAACTTGAATTTCGACGGGTTTGAACGGCCCGCCAACGTACAGACGACGTGCATAATCGTGTAAACAGCGTCATTTCTCTTATGTACAAAAGATTCATTATTGTTTATTACTGAATGTCTTTTTTATTGAATTAATGTTTGTGTGCAAAATGAGCAATACAATTCATTAATAATATGTAGAATATTAAAACACACAAGGAAATGACACAGCATTGTTTTCGTTGATTACAAAACCAGTGACTGACTGGTTCTACATATAAAACTGAAGAAAATAAGACCTTGGTTGTAGCTGTAGTAAAATTAATATGGTTGTTTTAAGTAATGTTATTTAATGTTAATAAATGGAACAATAGAAGTAGCTAACGAAAATGGTAAAGAAAAAGAGAGATCGCATGTGTAAGTGCACATGCGCACACGTGAAAACATATCATTACTTTACATAAGAATATGAAAGCAACACTTATTTACTGTTCATATATATTTTAATTAATGTTTCTGAATTTGTTTTTATTGAATTAATGTACGTGTGTGCAAAATTAACAATACAATTTATTAATAATACGTGGAATATTAGAGATGAGACGAGACGGCTGCCGGCATTGTTTATGTTAAAGCTTACAAAACCAGTGACTGATTGGTTCTACATATAAAACTGAAGAAAATAAGACCCTGAGTTTAGCTGTAGTAAAATTAATGTAAAAAATGAATATGGTTGCTTGAAGTACCTGTAATGTTATTTAATGTTAATAAATGGAACAATATAAGTAGCTAACCATTAATGGTAAAAAAAAAGTGAGTGCTCGTATGTAAGTGCGCACATGTGAAAATATATCGTCATTACTCTACATAAGAATATGAAAGCAACACTTATTTACTGCTCATATATATTGAAGGGTTAAATGTTGTACTCTGTATAGACAAGCAGAGAGAGAGAGAGAGAGCAGCTGAACTGCCGGATGTAAACAAACCTTAATTTCCCGCGGCTTTTTTTTTTAAGGGGATTAGCCCACCCGGGCATAGGTCACTGACCCACATTGGGGCCTGAGGGGCAAAAATTTAATACTCCTGTAATAATAATAATAATTCAGATAAGTAAAAAAAAAAAAACTGCCTATCTACCTATTGGACAAACTAAAATCGTTCTGGACCACGGGAGTTTCCAGACCACAGAATGCCGGACTAGAGAGGTACAACCTGTAGTTTTGTTTAGTTAGTGGAAAATATGTAATATGTGCTTTTTTCTTGACAGACGTCAGACGCCACAAACTTCGCTGCACTTAAAATTGAGTCCCAACTGTTAATTTTCATTTTGGCGGTGTTTTGTTGTTCTGTTTCTCTTAAGAAAATATCCTTCCTCTTTTTCACTTCCAGCATAGCTAAAACATATTTATAAATTTTGCGCCCTCAGCCAGCTGATATCTTTATTCTTGTGATTAGTCTATGTTTTGAAAGCGTAACTATGATTGTCTGACTGACCTGCAGGAAGACTCGCTCTCAGTGTTTGCATTTGAGTTACAATACCCTAACAACAATGCAAAATAGTTTTGAGTATGGGGGATTTACAATATTGTTAGCAGTTTGAAAGCCGTAAGTCGGTAAATTATGAGGAGTTTTTAGTATCCGGGCCCTGAGCTTTAGAAAAAAATAGTTATCATGCTTGCATCTTTGAAAATTATCTCATTGTATTTATAGTTGTTGCTGGTAAACAATTTTCAGTTATATTTTGCCTGAAGGAATGAAAAAACTAGATTATTGTACTGTACTATACATAAGACTGCCTGAATATGCACCCCTCAATACTGTACACAGTTGTGAGCATAAAGAATTCAGTGCTAAGCTACCTCTGTACAGTAGAAAATTGATACTGTGTAATGCAAGAGTGAGACAAATTGTATTATACTATTCTATGTATTTAAGTGGAAAATACAGTACAAGGCACTGTACAGGACTAAAGCCCCATAACATATTTGAAAGCATTCCTCAAGGACACTTTATTCTCACTTCAGCTCTAATACTGTCATTTAAAAATGTTTTAATATAACTCCTCTTTAGTCTAAACAACCGTTTCCTAGACTGCCGTTGTTTACATTCTAAGTGATTGATGTGTAATCTGTGTAATAACAGGGAATTTTGTGACAGTTGTGAACTGTTGCAATAAACTGCCAAAGAATGTTGCAACAGCAAGAGTTGTGAACTTTTGGAATAACCTGTCAGATAATGATCGTGAAGCCATTGAATGTGAACTCCTTTAAGTTCAGACTTAACCAACCCTGGCACATGTTCTGGTACATTCTAGAGCCATACATGCCCAGCACTTGCCAACAGTGTGTAACAGAGAAATGACCGACTGTCTAGGGAGCAGACCAGTGGCAAAGAATATTAACTTAAATGTGAAAATGGATGTGTTAAAAGATGTTTTGAAAAGGGGTAACAAGCTGTGGATATCGCTAGAGCTCTATTCAGTACTTGAGTTTAACCACTTGTGTATGGGGTCCCTTCTCTGTTGAATAAAATCATCTGGCATTTGCCAAATAAGATAATAATACTGTAGGAGCAGCTTCCCCATAGTGAAGGGGTCAACCCATTCACTACAGGGATGCCACTTTTAAAATTTTATTTGGGTTATACTGTACTAAATGATTTCATTCAGCACAGGGGGGACCTGTACTGTACACAAGGGTTAACATTTCTAACATTTTCCTATTATTTTGTCTGATTTTTGTTTCATTCCAGAAGAAAGTTTATACACTATACAGTACTGTATATAGTATACGTACAGGTATACAGTCCAGTATATTTATGAGAAATATATAAATATATCCCCGAGGAATGTAATCACAAATACTGTACAGTTGTGAACAAAAAGAATTTGGCAGAGTGAGTTTAAGCTGCTCCAGCCTCATAATTATATTAAAAAAAATGATGTGAAGGGAAAATCACTGACCTTTAACCGCCACCTCTATACGGTGGTGTCAAGTCTCGACCTACCCCTACCCTTCCATACACCACCTCCCTTCCTCTCAAGTTCTTTTCATTCACAACTGTGCATAACATTAAACTTATGGTACCGGTAATTATGGCAGCGTGATTGAGATACATTCCAGATCATTCTCACTCTTAATTTTACCTTATTTCTTGCCAACAACACATGCTTTGACTCCCTGAGGGGTTGCTAGCTGTACTGTACAGTAAGAATGTTTTATTAATATCTAGGTTTCTTTACAAACTGAACTTGAGGAGTACAGTAGTTTTAACTACTTGTTGGTAGAAAGGTGACTCAGGATATTGTAGGGGATTATTTTAATTTTATTATAAAAAGTAATAGCTTGCCTTTGCTTCTTATTACCACCAGGTGCAGCAACATCGCAACATGATTTACTTCCTCTCTCTCTCTGATAAAAGATTAGAATACCTGCAACTGCATAGCTTATACAGGGTGTCCACGAAGTCCTGTTCTGATTTCAAACATTTATTATGTGCAAATGGCATTAAAAATTGAAATAAAGTCTTTTGCATTTGCTTTAGCAAAAAACAAAAGTCAAATAGTTACTCTTTCAAATGCTAGGGGTAACTTAATTATAAGTCCATAAACACGTTGGAGGGCATTAATCAATATGATTGAAGAAGCCACAAATTAAAAAATTGTTGGGGCAAACTTTTTTGGAATGAGGGTTGTGAACTCTTGGAACAATCTGCCTGAGAGCATTGTGATGGGACCGAATGTGAGTTCATTCAAGACCAGACTTGACCAAAACACTGGCTCAGGTACAGATACATTTTGGAACCAGTACTTATCAACAGTGCATAACAGAGATGTAACTGACTGCCCAAGTGGCTAACAAGTCAATTACAGGTAGTGGCAAAGAGGATAAAGTAAAGTGTATTACTATAGGGTATAAAAAATATTTAGTGATAGTACAGTATATACAGTATTATGTATTATACGTCCATCTTACGAACAACCGCCGATACAAATGGAGTTAAACTTGAAATTTACAATAATGTATTTTATTTACCTGATGACTAATTTTTTTTTTACTTTCATTTAGTACTGCATTTTGTCATTCTATTTCTTCTTTTGCCAAATTTTACTTAAATTAAGTGATTTTAGATGTATATAAGGACTTAAGCTATAATATAGTGGGATTTTAAACATTGTTCTGTAAGTACGGTATGTCATGGAAATCACATATCCTTAACATAGCTAAAGCTACCTCCCAAAAGTTGGGAATGCTGTACAAATGCCGTAGCTACTTCACTCCTGAGCAGTTGCTTCAAGTATATAAGGGATTCATTCATCCTAACTTGGAGTACTGCTCTCATATCTGGGGTGGCTCTTCTGTCCAACTGTTAGATAGGGTGCAATCAAAGGCATTTCATCGTATTAACTCTCCTCCTTTAGTTGACAATCTTTCTTCCCTTTCTCTTTGCCGCAATGTTGCTTCACACACTCTTTTACAAGTACAGGGTACTTTAACGGGCAATGTTCGGTGGATTTGGCATCTTGTGTACCGCCAGCAAGGCCGTGGGCATCTTTGTGGTGTAGATTAACACAGTACAGTATAACCTTTTTCTCCTCTATTATTAATTTTTCTGTTCTTATTTTTTTGCCCCTAGACCCTGTTGTGGTTCTTTTGACCTGTGCCCAGGTAGGCTAATTCCCGTTAAAAAAAGAAAGAGAAAAGGCATGTGCATACCATCCTCAGGAACGGAACCCGTTCGTAACCTGGGAACCCCCTGTAATGTACACTGTAAACACTGTTCATCAGGGATGAATGCACTGGTTCATATACTGTAATTTATTTTTTCTTGGCTTACAGCCTTACACCATGCAGTATTGGAGTTTGACTGCATTATCGACAAATGGGAATAATTAGGGGGTACTGTTATAGTGAAATTATATCAAATCATGTACTGTACAGTATGGTAATATTTATAATGAATCTTTTGCAGGAAAACTTTGATGTTAATAGTAGTACTGTATTTGTATTGTCTTTCAGAGGCCACAAGATCTACCTAAGTACAGGACCAAACTATGATTTCCCCATGTTTAGGAAACTTGTCCATGATGTGACACAAGACTTCAAGCGGATTTCTGAAGGCATCATAGTTGTTGAAAAGGCTCTCAGAACTGACGGCTACACAAGTGCAGCTGATATCATCACTTCACTTCAGGAAAGTGAGAAGAAGAAATTAGAACTGGTAAGTTATTTATGAAGTACAGTATCGTCTGCATTTACGCGGTCAATTGAACCCGTGGAGGTCTGCGTAAAACGAGAAAAGCATAAATGAAATAACAGAACATATGGGATTAATTGAAATAGAGACTGGGCCGACCCTCAAACTCCACTTTTTCCGACACAATATGTACGTTGTAGTAAAAATAACATCTTAATTTTATGATGGTATGCACACACAATTAATAATTAAGAGAAATATCAGAAATATTAGGTTTTTAACACTTACGTTAGTAGAAAAGCTGGGTCGGCACACGTGGATGGCGGCTGGTTCCTCGGCAGAGGGCAGATTAGTTGCCCTCCGGTGAATCACTTTCACTACTCGCAGAGGTTTGCAGTCCTCCCAGACAAACCCCTCAAAGTCCATATCCTCACTATCACTGACTTGGGCTGGCTGTGGTTGTGGTGGGTTGCGGGCGAGGAAGTCCTCAATACTACGTTGACGACTAGTATTGATGTTGTCGAGATAGATCTGGATATACGGCTCCATAACTTTCGACAGAAGGTTATTAGACACTTCATACCGATGCTTGTCTGGGCATTGTCAAGGATGAGCTTAATTTTCTCCCCCAACTCAATGATTTCCTTCACACAATCATGGCTTGGTCTAGGTAATTCAAGGTTTTTCTCGGGTGGTGGGGGTCCAGCGGAAGCCATTGTGAGGGGAATAGCGGGCACAAGAGAATTGTATACACGGACTGAGAACAATGAGACAGGCCCGGCTAGGTCAGCGACTTCTACCCTCTGGTGGCAGGGCACGTCATGTTACATTAGACCAATCACAGCTAGCGGCGGAGGGAATGCGTGGGTGGTAAGGATGCGTGGCCCAATCACAGTCTGATACGTCATATGACGTCAGCAATAATGTAAGAGCGGCCTAATGCTCACCACTCACCGCACCGCTTCCCGCGTATGGTCAAGAATGGACCGCGTGAGTAAAAAATGGCGCGGCGGTCTGGACCTCTCCAGCCGCTCGCCGCGTAAATGATGAAATTTACCGCGTAATTAAAACATTTCATTCTGGCAAGGCACCTCGTAAATGACCAAACACGTAAAAAAATCCCGCGTAAATCCAGACTATACTGTACAGTATTCCTCAGGAAGGCATGTGTATTTTATGCTGAAGGGCTAGTTTGTACTTTTTTGTTTGTTAAAATAAAGTACAAGATGGGGCTTAAATACAAAATTTGACACAATGACTAGCAGCAGTCATCTCAGCAAAGGGTGCCCTGAGCAGAATGAAGGTAAGTTGATATCGTTATTAATTTTATCAAGTTTTATTCAGATGTTAACTCTGCACTTTTGTGTCCACAGCTAATGTACAGGCCTACAAAGGTTTGGTGAGATGGTAGATAATTTATTTTTTATTACCTGTGTGAGAGCTTGGGGAAAAGTTTTACATCTAACATTATTAGAGGTATAGGCTGAGCTTTTATTTACAAAAAGAAATTGTAAAGGTAGCATTCTGTGTCCAGGCAGCCCATAGTGATTTATTCAAGGTACAGGGCGTCCTCGCTTAATGTTGGGGTTACGTTCCTGAAAATGCGACGTTATGCAAAACGACGTTAAGTGGATCAGTTTTCCCCATAAGAAATAGATAAAATACGGGAGTTACATTCCCCAGCCTCCCTTTGTCCCATGAAAAAAGTTACAAATACAGAAAATAATTGCCATTTCTATAGAATATAGTATATAGAACTACAGTACTATGTTTGTATTGGAACTCACCGATCGGCAGAGGTGGTAGATTGAGTGCATGGTGGGTAGTGGAGCGAAGGAAAAGGATGGCGGGAGCGAATGAGGAGGGTGGAAGCGGAGGAGGATGGGAGAGGAGGAGGGTGGTGAGTCACTGAGACTCTGTGGCTGCCTCCTCCTGCTCTGACTGAGGTTCCTCCGCCGCTGCTTGCTCCTCCTCCGTTGTTGGTGGGAATGTCTCGGCAGCAACCGTATCTGAACTGGCAGCTTCAACAGTCATCTTTATGTTGTGGAAGTTAAACCAACGCTTAAATCGTTGAAACCAGCCTCGACTGGCCGTAAAGGTCTCTTCCTTTGATCCTTCACCTTCTCTTTCCTTCTTGTCATCAAACAAGGCTCTGGCCTTGTGCTGGATAACCATAAGGCTCACAGGGGCATTGAGTTGATTCTGGTTCTCCATCCATATTGCTAGCATCTTTTCCACCTTCTCTATCACAGTGCTTCTAGTACTAGTCTTCTTAGTAGCACTCAGAGAAGAGCCACTTCCAGCACTAACCTTAATCTTGTCAGCGTTGGTCCGGATAGTACTCACCATTGTGGGGGTTAGACCAAGCACAGCGGCTATGTCCACAGCATGTTCCCCTTTTTCAAATCGGGTTAATATATCCATTTTCGTAGTCAGGGTAATGGTCTTAAGTTGCGTCTTCACTACACTAGCATCAGTAGCACTTGATGGGCGCTTGGAAGCCATTTCGAATGGTTAGAGTACAGTTTTAGAGCCAAAGCACTTAAGCACACACGAATGATGTGAAGTCGTAACAGAGACTGGCTTGGCGTCGCTTGAGGATGCTGTGACGTTCCGCGAGTGAGGGTGGCATGCCGAGCCGAGAGTGTACGCGGCCAGACAAGAACAGGTGATGCACCGTAGAAAGTAGTCCGTGACGACGCAAAATGACGTACAGTAGTATCAGATCGCCAGGACGTTAAATGAATATTTGGTCTCAAAGTTCAGCGATGTAGTACCGAAGCAACGTTAAGCGAGGACTTACTGTAGTATGAGAGCTCATAGGGTATGCCAATCATCCCTATCACACCCATTGACCCAAAATAGGGAAGACCATGTGTAGCAGTTGTTCTCTGGAGGCAGGAGGCCTTATAGAGGCCATATCTGTCCAATAAGAGCACTTCTTCTTACCATGATTCTACCATTTTATTTTAGAGCCCATCAATCATCTCTGAATTCTGTTCTTAGCCATACATCAAGAATGGAAATCACTGAACTGGCTCACCACTGGGTAATGTACATACAGTACTACAAAAAGCAAAATGCCCCAGGCTTGTTGTGATTCTTCTGGTATTTTGGAAAGAGTTATTGTATTTCTTGGTGTCATCCTATAATTATTATTAGGGCATATGTGTATGGTTTTAAGATTTGTAACTTGTTACTTATTTTTCCAATTCTGTGCTAGTCATTACACCAAGACAGGTAGCTTTCATCCCCACACTTCGATCTAACATCTCATTGGCATAGTATTGTACAGTAGTCCCTCGTCATCCGTGAATTTTCCATCCACAAATTTGGGGTATCCAAAGCTTTTACTTGGTATCCTATTTCACCAACAGCGGCATTGAATTTTGAGTATTAGCGGTTTAGGGCGGCGACATTTTCCCTCCATGTTCTAATGTATTCCTCTGCGCAGCGTCCAGCCTCCCGCCAAACTCTCTGTGTTGTAATCTCATACCGTGCAAACATATTTTACTGCTCTGTACACTGGATATTTATTACATATTTTCTGTCGTAATAACGTTGATTTTGTATTTAACTCTGGCCCCAAAGCGTGCATTGAGTGTTGGTGATAGTGGTGAGAGGAAAATGAAGAGGGCATGGAATGTAATTACTAGAAAAGAAAGTTGAAATGCTTGATAAACTAGAGAGTGGCGAGAGCGTAGCGTCAGTGGGACGCGCCATGAGGGGGGTAAAAAATTCCTTAATTCGCACGGTTAAGAAAAGTGAGGCTACGATAAGGGCTATTGTTGCTGGTGCCACATCAAAAAGTGCAAAAGTAACATGCTGCACGACCATTATTTTGAAAAGATGGAAGAAGCACTAAACGTACGGATGGAAGATCAGGCCCCAAAAAATGTGCCATTAAGTTAGTAAGTGATACTTGTGAAGGCCAGGCGGATTTATGGCCACCTTTTTTAAAGTGTGGGCGAGGGAAATGTTGCGGACATAAAATTTCAAGCCAGTAAAGAGCTGGTTTGAAAATTTTAAGAAAAGATACAGCCTGCACAATGTGAAACTCACTGGGGAATCTGCATCAATTGATCTCCAGGTCACTGCACTATTCTTAAGAATTTGTGAAATTGATTCAGAAGGGTTACGTGCCAGAGCAGGTATTCAATGTGGGCAAAACTGGCCCTTTTTTGGAAAAGATTGCCAATAATTAATATTAGTTTTCTAGGATCAGAGGTCTGCTCCAGGATTTAAGGTAGCAAAGGACAGGCTGATCCTTCTCCTTTGTGTTAATGCCTCAGGGGATTGTTTCATCATGTCCATGCTCTTCTACCAGTCTCTGAACCCCTATGCCCTGAAGGGCAAGAATAAGCATCACCTCTGTCTTTTGGCAGTCTAATCAAAAGGCCTGGGTTACTGCTGCTATCTTCTTGGACTGTTTCGGCAATTGTTTTGTGCACATCGTCGACAAAGAACTCGGTCACCCTGAAGCACTCCAGATTGCCCATCCCAATATAGAAGTGGTATTTCTACCTCTATACACCACTTCACTTCTTCAGCCTGTGGACCAGGGTGCAATAGCCACTTTTAAAAGTTATTACACTTGCTGCACCTTCAGCCATATCCTTGATGCAATGGAGGAGGATGGTACCTCAACTGTTTCTGACTCCTGGAAGAATTTTCACATTTCTGACAGCATTAGCCAAGCAAAAGAATCAGTTGATGAAGTGAAGCAGTCAACATTGAATGCTTACTGGGGAAAAATCTGGCCCTGGGGGTGATGCACGACTTCCATGGTTTCCCTTCAGTTGATGCTGAGGTGCGGCGTATCATGAAGATTGCGCAATCTTTGGCAGGCGAGGGAATGTACGACATGCAGGTCGAGGAGATCCTTGTTTCCCGTGTGGAGGAGTTGACGAAGGATGACCTAGAAGAGCTGATAAGCCCCTCTAGTGATGATGAGGATGAGGTGATAAAAGTGAAAATGCAGCCTTGCATTTAAGCCTGCATTGGATGATGTGATGAAGCCATATAAGGTGTACAGGGATCTAAAAAAAAAAAAAAAAATTGAATCAGCCAACTATCTTCAGCCTTTTTAACAAGACCACCACTGCTACAGCTGTTCCATCACCGACCCATAACCCTCCAACTGCGGCTGCAATCCAGCCAAGTTGTCCCTCCCTCACCCACCTCATCAGACATTTCTGAACCTGACGAAGTGCAGGAAGAGAGTGGGTCTGTGTCACCCTCTTTCTTATAACAACCACCTCTCTTTCCACATCATCCTTAGTGAAGGTAAATAGCCCTTATACTGTCAAATTTATAATACTGTTAAATTTGTATTACTATTTAATTTATATTCTGCTATTTTATATGTATTTGACTCAAATTATATGAAATGTACAATGCAGATATTGTTTTGCGAAGGAACATGCAACTTAGGCTTTGACAAGTGTTGTCGGCGGCCGTGGAACCTAACCCCCTATTTCCCATATGCCTTTAGTCTTACCGACCTCAGATTTACCAACCACAGGGTTTTCCAGGAACCTAACTCCTATGGTTGGCGAGGAACTACTGTACCCAAGTCACATTCAGCTGTTGGTTGATCTGTAAAGAACAGGCCCCCACCCTGATACTTGTTTGCATACATATAACATTAATGATCAAACCATTTGAAAACCCCTAAAGGTATCTCCAGCTAACTTGGGTTAAGTTTGGTCAGTGAAATACAATAGAGTTTTGGCAGTGATCAGAGTTTTCAGTGGAAACTGCCTAGAGCACAAGTTTCTAGAACACAATTGACTGCCATTTTGAAGGGATAATTTATTTTTAATCGTGGTAAAAATGTGTTATGAGTGAGAGTAAAGGCCCCCCTTTCTAAGGGAACACCACTTTTAATACTTTATTGGGCTGATGCCAGACAGTTTTATTCAGCTGGGGGCATACACAAGGAGGGGGTAAGAGTTGTTCCTGGTCGATGATTGTTTGGAGATGAAATTTCAGGTTAAGTCCCACATTTAATGTTTTTATTCTTTTTTAGACTGCCCGCTTGCAACTTTCTTGTGAAATGTTAGCAGAGAGCGACAATGGGGAACTGGAAACAAATAAGGTAAAGGAAATAAGAAACGAGTTGGGAAAAGTGGTGGAGCAGATAAACAACTTACTGACAGAACTCCGCTATGAAATCCACAATGGAGAATAAGTTGTACAGTACGTGTATTACTGCAATAGATCAGTAAAGTATTGTGTGCCATATTGTGATAAGAAATTGTTAATTGGATGATTTTTCGGTGAAAAAGTTTAAAAATGTCATGCAAAATTAAAGATATTGAAACTTCATCATTGTATTTTTGACTATGTGGGCCAGTCATACAGCATTGCTGAACTTTGAAACAAATTTCTTTAAATAAAAATTTTATTATATATTTCAAGTACAAAATGAGATTGATTTACTAGTTTGTAATAGTTTATTAATATTAATATAGAAATTGATCCAGGAGGACACCAGATTAATGGATAATAACGGTCTTTTGGATTTAATGGAGGATCACTCTTTAGCTACATTAGCAAATAATACTGTTCTGGTGTCTTGGAAGTTATCAAAGAGTTCACTAGATTAATGATATATACTATACTGTAATGGTGTCTTTTGGTATTGATCAGGGGCACACTTTGCAGAGTAACAATGGTGTGTCTTGAGTTTGAGGCATCTTCACAAAGCAATTCATCAAAAAATTTTTGTGCCTATTGGAAAGGTATGTATCAGCCTCTTTACTTGGGATGATGGTTGTAAGCTTCATAGTGTATTGACAATATACCATGCATAAACTATTGTGTTTTATTTAGATATAAAATACTAAATGATATATAGATTCTCCTGTACACTTCATGGTAAGATTATTTAATTGTAATATTTATATCCTCTAATGGTCACAAATTATAATTTATTTACCTTTTTTTTTCATAATTTGTATGGATGTATTTTAATGGTATTGTTATGCTTGCATTTAGTGTGGTTTTGAGTACCTTTATAGAATAATTCTGAAGTTATTCACCTTCAGTTGAAGCAAGAGTTTAATATTGTTAAGTGCTCCGGTTGTGACACTACAGTATTGTTAATGTATTTTTATTTTATAGGTGACATTGTATTTTTTATTAATTCTTAGCGGAACTTAATTTAAAATATTCTATTTTTGTAGACATGGCCTAACTGCCTTAAAAACCTTCATGTATTACTGGGTGATTAGTAAATGACAGGTTTAGGCCTTCCAGTATTAAAATAATATGGTTGGAACTTTGTTATTGTTTGACTATATGTATTGTGTAATACAGTATTCTATTTTGAGAAATAAGTGTCTTGAGTTGGGAGCCTGTGACCCCTCCACTCTCAGAATTTAGACACAACAGTTCCTTGTAGTGATAACCCCCACTGTAAGAAGGGTGTCTTCCACTCCCCATGACAAAATGTATTTCTATACCTATCCCAATTATAGTCCTTAGGTTAAATTACCCAACATATTTCCACTACTTAAATGTGTAGTTGGTTGATATTTTGTTCATGACATAACCACAAAATGTGTTATTTTTTGTCTTCTGGTTCTTATAATTATGTACTTGCTCTTATGCATGTAAAACTTAGAGGTGTATGGTGAATACTGCCTGAATACTCCCTAGATATTCCTTAAATATTTCTCGCCATCAGTACTACACTCATTATATTTGAGCACTTTATTCTGGTCACACATATCCACCAGGGTGTCATAGTAAATAATTTCAGGCAATTTGGAATGCTACACAACTAGTGCTTGTACTAAGCCCAATCCATCAGTTTTTAACTTTTGCAAATATATGCTCAGTAACGGGTATATTCCCTCAAATCTGGGACCTTTTGAACCAACACGTAACCAAATTTGAGGATCTGTTGGTTTCCTGGGTCGCCTGTGTTACCCTAGGCCTCTCGGGAGACTGCGCACATTTTACTTCCACATAAACTCAATTGAAGGTTTTTTTTTCTTAAATAACAAAATGCATGTACAGTATAGAAATAATCATTATAAACATTATTTAAATAATAATTATACTGTAGTCTATTTAGAAGTCCCTAAGTGAGTTAAATGGTTTGTTGACTTCCAGCAGCATCTAGTGAATTTCAACATAAGCCAGAAGTAGAGCTCATTATTCATTATTGTCTGATTGAATAAATATCTCAATTCCTTAAGTATCTATTTATATAATTTGTATTTATTAATACCTGTACAATATTATTATTGTTTTCACATATCTTTAGAATTGTGAATGGTTAAATTAAACCAAAGCCATCAGGTTATTTATGCCAGATGCTACTTGTTGCCACTTGGGCCTGTTTTCTTTAGTTAATTTTAAGAAGTAAACCAAATGTTCAACTTATTATTGTGTGAGTGGAAGCAAAACTTAAGTAAGCAAGGGAAGAAAGGGTCTAGTTTTGAGGGTCTGTACCTGTAGGTTTAATGTTTCTCTCTTTTTGCTGTTAATAAAGTCACGGAGGCACACTGTCTTGTTTATTTTATCCTCTATTTAATTACAAAAGGTTTGAAAAGACAAAAAGTGCTGGAAATAGTAAATAGCTATTGAATGTAAACATGTAAATATTAATCTATTGGCAGGGAATGAAGCAATTGGCTTGCAGTCACTAGATTTTTCCTGTGGTTAGCAAGGGCTGGGCCTAATGGGAAATATGGGGTTTGGGGAAATGATCACTGAAAGAGGAAATATTCCAATAATGTACAGCTTGAGGTTAAGAAGTAAAAGGTGTATTTTATAGTTATTTAAGTGTTTCTTATACTTTACAAAAATACTGTGCAGTAAACTGCAGGAATTTGAGAAAAATTTAATGGTGCAGGTTCCCAGATACATCTTTGGCGGGTAAACTACTGCAGTCACTATTCATTTGTCAATGTTAACCGAACAGATTACCCCATGGTACACATTTTGAAGCAAGGGCCTTGTTCGGATTTTCTCGTCTGAAAATCCCCCCAAAAAGTTGTTATTCTTTTGTTTAAGTCTAAAATATTTTCAAAAACTTATTTCAAATCTGACCCCATTAAATTTGATCCAAAAGTTGTTTCACGGTATACCAATCGTGTGAATTAGTGGCCTTTACTCATTGATGGTTATATACACAAGCAGTGGATCTTTGCATCATCTCGTGATGAATTCGGTAATCTACCAATTGTTGTGAGTAAATAAGGATGCCACTTAATTTTAGCCTCTACTAAAATTGTGTGTGATAAAACTATTGTGCAAAAAATTATGGGCTTTAGTCGTTGACTCCATATGGATCCCTAGATTTCTTATCAATTGATTAACTAGGGTGCCATCCTCAGCTCTTAGGGATGGTGACCACAACTCTCCATTTCAAGTGTTTTCAGGGTCTTTTTCATTAATTTTTTTTTAACCTACCTGTAAGTACCACATTTTTATTTTCATTCATCAAACTCAACCATTGCCTTCCTATGCACACCTTAGGAAGGTATAAAGGACACAGATTTTACAAATATACATTTCACTTAGGCTAAAGCACGAAAAAAATGCATGACGGTTGATGTGTGACAGACAAGGCCATTGTAAACAAGTATTTCTTTTTTTACTTGGTGAGCCAAAAGAACGATGCTACTGTGATATTGCTGAAATATGGGAGCGTGGGTGGTGGAGTAGTTAAAAATTTTTATAAGAGTTGTCAATGAGGAATTTTACTCAGGGTGTTTGGTGGGGGGGAGGGTGGCTTATAAAGACTTTGGCACATGAAAAATTGACCCACCACGAGCCTTCCACTCCAAGAAGGATCCAAAGTACAGTCTGAAATAAGAGATGATAACATTAAAATTCCATTGCTATTCCATGGCTGATAACATCCAATAGTCATTGTTTACTGTTGGATGATAATATTCAGCAAGGCTGATCACTGGAAAGAATATTAGAGGCAAATAATACTGGATGGGTAGTGACTGGAACAGGTGGAGATAGTGTCTGAGGTGGAAAGGGTGAATGTGAGAATTATGGTTCTGAAGTTATTAATGGGCAAGGCTCTAATGACTCGTGTATGTATTGAAGCAACGACATTATTCAAAAGCTACTTGAACACCTTGACATAAGTTTTGTTTACCTGATGTTGCAGTAACCGAGTGGTTCAAGTAGTTTCCCGGCCTTCCTAATCCTGCGTCCAGAACGGCAGGTCAGCACCACGTTTTTATCCTCTGGCAGTGGCTTCGGGAACCCATATTTCTCCATGAACTCATTCTCGTCCAGTTGAACAGCTTCATATATCTCTGGAACTGATATATTTCATCATTACACCATGTTAAGTTATACAGCACCTCCAAATTATATCATCAAAATATTATAGAACAATGAAGGTGTATGAAACCTACAATGTATATTCTTACTAAACAATTTATTTTGAAATGTACAGTACAGTATTATAAAGGGATCACATTAAGATTAGGCACCCTGGCTTTTTTAACGTACCCTAAAGAAACCTGGGGATGATTAGGTGAGGGGTTAGGTTAGGGCAGTTAATCTTAAGGTGAAATAAACTGGGAAGATATTAGGTTAGGATAGATTTAGGCAGAAAATTTTAAGCTGAAGTAAGTTGGATGGAGGGAGGGCTAATCTTCATGACATTCTTATAAATTAGGGTGATTCATGGACTGACTCAATGCCCCTCAGTCTACGTAACTCAGCATTCCCCAGTCCATGTGACTCATTCTCCTTCAGTCTATGTAACTCTGCATTCCTCAGTCCATGTACCTCAGCATTCCTCAGTCCATGTAACTCAATGTCCCTCAGTCTATGTAACTCAGCATTCCTCAGTCCATGTAACTCAGCATTCCTCGGTCCATGTAACTCATTCTCCCTCAGTCCATGTAACTCAATGTAACTCAGCATTCCTCAGTCCATGTAACTCATTCTACCACACTCCATGTAACTCAGCATTCCTCAGTCCAAGTAACTCAGCATTCCTCAGTCCATGTAACTCAGCATTCCTCAGTCCATGTAACTCAATGTCCCTCAGTCTATGTAACTCAGCATTCCTCAGTCCATGTAACTCATTCTACCACACTCCATGTAACTCAGCATTCCTCAGTCCAAGTAACTCAGCATTCCTCAGTCCATGTAACTCAGCATTCCTCAGTCCATGTAACTCAGCATTCCTCAGTCCATGTCCTCCATGTAACTCAGCATTCCTCAGTCCATGTAACTCAGCATTCCTCAGTCCATGTAACTCAGCATTCCTCAGTCCATGTAACTCATTCTACCACACTCCATGTAACTCAGCATTCCTCAGTCCATGTAACTCAGCATTCCTCAGTCCATGTAACTCAGCATTCCTCAGTCCATGTAACTCAATGTCCCTCAGTCTATGTAACTCAGCATTCCTCAGTCCATGTAACTCATTCTCCCTCACTCCATGTAACTCAGCATCCCTCAGTCCATGTAACTCAGCATCCCTCAGTCCGAGTAACTTACAGTATTTGTTTGTCTGTTCATCACTTGGTATGTCTGTCTGTCCATACTTTGAGGTTGAGTGTCTTTGCTGTTTAATATTATCACAAGTGTTTCATAATTTTAGTCGTTTCATTTTTATCTTATTAAATTATTTGTAAATTAAATAGGAGACTCACTCCAAGAGAGATTCACCCTAAGAGAAGAGACTCACCCTGAGAGGAGAGAGATACACTGAGGATAGACTCACGGGGCAGGTTGTAGCTCCAGGGGAGTTTGCCGGTGGCTTCCAGCTCTGTCCTGTTGCGCACATCAATCAACAACACACCGCCCATCTCCAGGGCTTCCTGCAGCTCCTCGAATGTTATACCTGTGAGGGGATAGATGTATAGATATTCATTAAGTAAAATCATCATACAAGTTTACATTGATTCGGCATGTACACAGACAAGGCAGGAATACAACTGTACTGTATACAGACATTGCAGTTAAACTAACAATGTACCAATACCCTGTAGTGCAGGTATACAAACTCTGTACCTAGATAGTGCAGGTATACAGGTACTCCCCGACTTACGACCTACTCGACTTACGTCCACCCGCACTTATTACCTGCCTCAGTCGTACCAAAATTTGGTCAAATTATGTATTTTTGAGTCCCAAAGTGAGTACACAGACAAAAGTTTCATCTGTAATTCACTTTAAAATGGCTGGCAAGCTTAAAAGTGAGTGTTTTGTGGTGCTGAGAAGAAAAAGAGACACCCATTTTAGATTTTCTATGTGTTATTTAAGCATTTCCGACTTAGACCATTTCGACTTACGACCTGGAGGTCGGTCCCTAACCCCGTCGTAAGTCGGGGAGTACCGGTACCTGTACAAACAATGTTCAGTTTATCTTGATTTAATGAACTAATTCAAGCCACCTCTTACTGTTAAATCAAAACTTCCGCTAAATTGAATTTCCGCTATTTTCGCTCGATTTAGTGAACTAGTTCACTAAATTGTGTGTGATTCCAGTAAATTCTGCACTAAATGTGCCGCTTGGTGCAAGGGGTTTGTTTACATCCACTCAGTCTGTGTCCTGCTGCCACTTCGTGTGTTGTTCACTACATTTCGGTCAACTAACTGTGCTTAGACATCATGCCAAAATTATCTCAAAAGTCTCAGAAAGGAAGTGGTTTGGGGGAGAAAGTTGAAAGAGTGTGGCTATCAATTGGAAAAAAGTTTGGAAATACAGGTATAGAAAATTTATTTATTTATTTATTTATTATTATTATTTATTTTTTACAGAATTAGCTCACCCGGGCACAGGATACTGACCCACACCTGGGCCGGGGCGAAAATGTATTAATAATAACAATAATTAGTTCATAGTAAATAAAATTTTAATACAAAATACAAAATTAAAAACAAAATAACAACACTGATTATAATAATAATAATAATAAAGAACCATAAAAAATATAACAATTAAAAAAGATCAATAGTGAGAAACAATATATGTATGTTGTGTTGTCAATAGTAAGAGAAACAATTGAGGCCCTGCAATTGTGTGTAAATGTGGCAGAAGGTCAGATCAGCAACCTGGGACTTGGTCACAATTTTCGTGATGCCATATGGCAGCAGGGTCTACCATTAGACAACACATATGCTTCCAATATCTTCCCAGGCGGTAGTACCTCCCTGTTTGGCAGCTGCCTACTACCTCTGTAGTTGTGAGCGCATTAATGGAATTACTCTCGATTTACCAAACTAGTTCAGTAAAGATGTTCTTCATCAATAAAACACAAATTCTTTGTAACATACACCAAGAAACGCACTAGTCATTGAGTAGATTTACATGCATACCTGCATTTCACCAAACACAATTACATATACACACTGATTTTCAAATGTAAACATATATACACAGTCAGATACCCCACACATTTGTCCTCGGCCCTGCACTCTGCGTTTCACCTGGAAACAGAATGGGAGAAGGCAGCTTACAATATGAGTAAAGAACTAAAATCAAATGTTATTGTAAGTAAAAGAACCCAGAAATCTACCCTAGAAATTATTATGGGACACTACTCCATGACATTACCCCGGCAAACTACATCATACTTTATTTTACTTTTATCCTCTTCACCACTGATCGGCTCGTTAGCCGCTTGGGAGATCGGTCACGTCTCTGTTACTTTTCCTTTTCTTCTATCCTCTTCACCAAATGATCGACTCGTTAGCCGCTTGGGAGATTGGTCACATCTTTGTTATGCACTGTTGGCAAGTACTGGGCATGCACCGGCTCCTGAATGTACCTGAACCTGCTCCAGTGTTGGTCAAGTCTTGTCTTGAAAGAGCTCACACTCGGTGCCGTCACATCACTTTCTGGTAGATTGTTCCAAGAGTTCACAACTCTCACTCTGACAAAGTTTGTCCTCACAGTTTTCTGGACTTGTGGCTTCTTCAATCATGAGCTGTGACCCCTTGTGGGAAGAACGTAAGCCAGCTCCAAGTAAGGACACTCGACATCGTTCCAATCTCTCAGGGTAGCTGAGGTGCCGATGTGCAGCACCAGTCTGGTGGCCCTCCTTTGAACATTTTCAACCAACTGACAGTCCCTTGCATATCTCGGGGACCAAAAGGGGTGACAGTACTCCAGATAGGGAAGCACTTCACTCTTGAAGATCGTTACGAGGGGCGGACCGTCTAGATATCTGAACGACCTTCTTTTAGGCCCAATAATTTATTTGCCTCGGGCCATTGCCTCGCAATGGCCCGAGAACTTCAGCTCATTTTCAACATACACACCTAGGTCCTTCTCACATTCAGTCTCAAATAGCGCAGTTTCATCCCAACGGGATGAAACTGCACCGCAAATTACACCAGGAAGCTGATCCAATCCAGGAAATTGTTCAAGGCTTTTACCCAAGAAAAACTCAACAGGAAGTATTAAAACAAACTACGTGATATTGTTCAGGTACTACATGGCAACTTATCTCTAGGTGGACCTGGGGAGGTGTAGGACACAAGGAAATGATGAGGAGGGGAAGGTGAGAGGGTAGGGAAGGTGAGGAGGGAAGGGTAGAGGTAGGGAAGGTGAGGGGGAGGGAATTGTGAAAGAGAGGGAGGGTAGAGTGTGTGGGAGTAAGGTGGGGAGAGTAGAGTGTGTGGGAGTAAGGTGGGGAGGGGTAGGTGGTTGGGAGTAAGGGAGATGAAGAACTGTATAAGAATAATGAGTAATGAGGTAAATGAATAATGGTAAGATAAAGTTCTGAGAAATAATAGAGAGAGAGCACCAGAGTAAGAACAGATAAGGTGTGAGGAGAATTGGGTCCTTGAGGTGGAAGCCAAAAGTGGACAGGAAGAGTCAGTGAGGCTCGAGAACTACCCAGTGTACTAATGAGATAAAACCAGGCCAGGGAGGTGTAGTGCATAGTAATAACAACACACCATTGAAACAGAGGAGTGTGGGGTAAAGGTCCAAGGAGGAGAGTTTGTGTACTAGAATTGGTGGATATTATAGTAATTTTTCGACATATACTGTAAATGAGAACAGATCATGACAAAACCCAAATATCCCTCACCTTAGGCAATTTCCTGAACTAATTTGTTTCAAAATTAACAAGTTGTAGATTTCACACCACCACCAATATTCCTTCATAAGGTAACAATATATGTCACACTTACACTCAATTTACTGCTTATTGTCTTTAGTCAGATTTGGAGTTCATTATGTCTACTATGATATATAGTACAGCATTCAACTACTGTTTTCAAACACTATTTGAACTGGCCCCAACATGACTTCTCAATTACATGCACATCTCCCAACTTTCACACATCTCCCTTCACAACTGTCCTAATTATCACCATCATCTCTTTGTCAGTTCATTCTCCGTCCATAAGAAGCCAATTTCTTCATCGTAATTCAATCATTGTTTCTGACATATCTTACACTGTATACATATAATGCAAATGTAGCTACAACTGTCTAGTCTTTGACACACAACTCAACCCTTCAGATTTTTATTTGGTCACTATATTGTTTCATTTATCTAAAAAAAAAATATGAAATCCAAAAAGATACTTTAGAGATATAACCAGCCAGGTGAGGGTTACGAAAAGTTTCCACTGTTCCACAGTTTGTGATGGTAAACATGACTCAGGTGTTTCTTACTTACCAACGGGGTATTCGACACCAGGCTTGCGACATGTGTAATGCTTGGTGGTTGTAGTGGTAGCTGAGGTAGTTGCAGTTGTAGCTGAGGTAGTTGCAGTTGTAGCTGAAGGAGTTGTAGTGGTAGGTGAGGTAGTTGCAGTGGTAGCTGTGGTGGTTGTAGTGGTAGCTGTGGTGGTCGTAGTGGGAGGTGTGGTGGTCGTAGTGGGAGGTGTGGTGGTCGTAGTGGTGGCTGAGGTGGTCGTAGAAGTGGGTTCAGTGGAGAGTGTGGTGGCTTGCGACTGGTCTTGGTCAGTCTGTAACGTCTGGCCTGCCTCCTGAGGTGCAGCCTTAGCCGCTGCCACAACAGCGAGGACTAGCAGGAATATCAGGCGGGCATCTGGGAACATAACACCAAAAGTTACTTGAGGTACATTTCTCTACAAAATGAACTAAGTATATGTACTGAAGTGCAAGGAAGGTAAAACATGATTACTCTCCTCCATAGACAATTGATTTCATCTAAAACGAGTTAGTAGTGAAGAGAGAGAATTCTAAATCTGAGTTAAAGTAGTAAGACACTAAACACACATAATTAATAGTATAAAATTGCTTAAAAGTTCATGTGCCAGAGTGAAATATCAACCATTAAACATCATTCAAGCAGATGCAAACCCTGGCCGCAAACCGTTACCCGGGAGGGTAAATGTGAGACTAGAAAAACTTATTGTAATCATCATCATTTTCTTTAACACCCTAAAACCAATGTGTCATAATTTCTCAAACCATTTATCATGGCGGGACTTGGTCAATTTTAGCGAAATTTGTACCAAAAGTTTATCATGTGGACTTTACCATGTTGGTCAAACTTACCAAGTTTGGCGCAAATCCACAATCCTGTACTTGAGTTATTTTGAGGAAAGACAGACAATCAGTTGCGAGTTGGGTATAATGTATATTCTGTTTTATTTTTTTGTCAGCATTTCATGGATTATACCTCAACAGAAAATGGTAATCGTCAGTTTCAACAGTTATTCCTGAACTAAAGACTCAACTTTTTAGGCCGTTTTTACCAATTTTCCCAGATTTGTGCTTCTCTTCAGGGACCCACTTTTAATTTTATTCATCCAGCCCAGTTTCTGCCTTTCCCTAGTTCTCCTATCATCAAATTCACCCATTATCTTTACCACTAAGAACAATGGAGGGATTCTACACAACTCATCAGCCTTCTTCATCCATCATGGCCACATCTATTTTTGGTGGCCATTAGGTAAATTAGGTAAATCCAAAAATGTTTTGAATTTATGGTTTCCCTTTATGAGTTTTTGTTTCATGTCGAAGACTTTGTGTGTTTAGACATTGCCTGCTAGCTGTTAGGGATACGTTTTCCACATTCACGGCAGACAAAGTGGTTGGACAGTTTAGCAACGCTGATCCAACAAGCACACTCGAAAATCCTCTCCAATGCTTGTCCATGGGTGTTGTAGTGTAGGGATTGAAATGTGCCGAGGAAGGAAACACAATGCCTTACCCCATCACAAGAGTTTGAGGAAAAGAAAAATTAAAGGTGATATGAGTCGTTCATTCTCCCATCTGGTGAAAGACACGAAGAGACCACCACCACATACACATACTTAAGAGCTAAAAAAAAAAGGGACCACCAGAAATTAGCCACCCCAGTTTATTTCACCTGCAGATTAACCACCCTAATGCTAACTTAACCTAACTAGAAAAAGTGCAACACAGAGCAACTATAATTATTCATGACCTAAATCATCTCAATTATCCAAAGACTCCGAGGACCTTGAGACTAACAACTCTTAACACAAGACAACACGACGAACCTCTAAGACATATACAAAATCCTTAAAGGGACTTATGAAGCAAACTCAGATCTCTTCTCCAAGCTATATGCAGAACAAATATAAGGATGCACGTCTTCACACAGAGGGTAGTAGACCAATGGAAGAGTCTACCAGCTAAGCCATAGAAGTAAAAAAATATAAAAATAAATAAAAATACAGTACTGGGCTTCAAAATAGCGATCGACAAGACTACAATATCAAGAACAATAGAGGGATCCTACACAGGCCATAGAGGTCACCTTCCCCTGTCATGGCCACCGCTAGTTGTGACAGCCGTCAGGTAAGGCAAAGTAAGGTAGGTGGGTAGGGTAGGGTAAGGTAGGTGGGTAGGACTAGGGAAGGGTAAGGTAGGTAGGTAAGGTAGGGTAAGGTAGGTGGGTAGGGTAAGGTAAGGTAGGTGGGTAGGACTAGGGAAGGGTAAGGTAGGTGGGTAAGGTAGTGTAGGGTAAGGTAGGTGGGTAGGGTAAGTTAAGGTACGTGGGTAGGACTAGGGAAGGGTAAGGTAGGTGGGTAAGGTAGTGTAGGGTAAGGTAGGTGGGTAGGGTAAGGTAAGGTACGTGGGTAGGACTAGGGAAGGGTAAGGTAGGTAGGTAGTGTAGGGTAAGGTAGGTGGGTAGGGTAAGGTAAGGTAGGTGGGTAGGACTAGGGAAGGGTAAGGTAGGTGGGTAAGGTAGTGTAGGGTAAGGTAGGTGGGTAGGGTAAGTTAAGGTACGTGGGTAGGACTAGGGAAGGGTAAGGTAGGTGGGTAAGGTAGTGTAGGGTAAGGTAGGTGGGTAGGGTAAGGTAAGGTACGTGGGTAGGACTAGGGAAGGGTAAGGTAGGTGGGTAAGGTAGTGTAGGGTAAGGTAGGTGGGTAGGGTAAGGTAAGTAGGTAAAGATACTTCAAGAGGTCGAGCATGCCCAGTGCTTACCAAGAGTGTGCAAAAGGCAAATAACTTAACCAATCGGATAGTAAGCTGACAGGTGCCGAAGTGGATAAGGTACGACAAACATGCTCACCAAACACGCGTGATAAACTAAGAGCAACGTGCATAACCAAAGCAAACGTGCTCAGCCAACACAAACATACACAGTCAAACAAATATGCTTAACGAAAATAAACTTGCACACACATTTAGACGAAATTTCCCAATAGTCGTATGAATAGAGAATGGTCTTAATGAAGCAAAGTGAAGGACTCTACTGTATGTGGGGCAGAAGGACCCAAAGTGAAGGACTCTACCTGGGACACAACCCAAAGTGAAGGACTCTACATGGGGCAGAACCCAAAGTGAAGGACTCTACTGTATGTGGGGCAGAAGGACCCAAAGTGAAGGACTCTACATGGGACACAACCCAAAGTGAAGGACTCTACATGGGACACAACCCAAAGTGAAGGACTCTACATGGGACACAACCCAAAGTGAAGGACTCTACATGGGGCAGAACCCAAAGTGAAGGACTCTACATGGGGCAGAAGGACCCAAAGTGAAGGACTCTACATGGGACACAACCCAAAGTGAAGGACTCTACATGGGACACAGCCCAAAGTGAAGGACTCTACATGGGGCAGAACCCAAAGTGAAGGACTCTACGTGGGGCAGAACCCAAAGTGAAGGACTCTACGTGGGGCAGAAGGACCCAAAGTGAAGGACTCTACCTGGGACACAACCCAAAGTGAAGGACTCTACGTGGGGCAGAACCCAAACTATAGTTATCCTGGTAGCATTATTTGTCTGATATTCGCTATTATGGCAGAGGTCTTGAACAATATTATTCCTTAAACTTTAAAAGCAAAAACAAGTGGAAGAAGCAATGAACTTAAACAGGAGTATACACCAATGTTCACATGTTCCTCATAGGACGGCCGTAAACTAAAGAGAGGAGCTACCTGACTTGAGACATTTCAACACTGACAAAGATCAATGGTAAGTGACCTAGTATTATTATTCTTGAACTATTACACCTTAATTATTTAGATAACCTAATTCTTTAATGGGTGACCTGAAAAAAAGGCACAACAAGGCTTAAACAATCAACGGGTCATTTATCATTGTTGAAGTAAATGTTTTATGACCAACCTCAAACAAGACACAATAAGACTGAAACAAGATGGAAAGCGTAAACATACACTCACACTCCAGGGATGTAATTACCAGACCGACACCTCATCGCTACAGAGAACAAGAGACCACAGTTTCCAGCTGAACCAATAACCTTGCAGAAAAACAACAACAAAAGAAGTACGGATTACATGAAGATTTGGCACCTAAGTTTACTTCACCTGATGATTAAACTCTCTAACGTTAACCTAAACTAATCTAACCAAATCTGTCCGTTCCCGATCAACACTAACATTACTATTCTTAAAATGGCTACAGAAGCTGCCTTGGGAGCATACTGTCGTCCATGATTCTTAAGTGGTCGCGGATAACGTTGGCCTTAATGTTCCTGTATGTCTTACTACCGGACTCGGAGAATGTATTAGAGACTATGATGATGAAAAGTCTCTAGCGCACACACACACTGACAGACACACACACATTAATAATACACAAACAATGTAAAAGCAGACAACAAATAAACGCACTATAGAACAGGAAGGAACAATAGCACAATCAAGTCAAGGCCAAATGACTCAGAAGAATGACTAGATACACCACCAACAGCGGACGCGAGAAAATTATGTACCGGAACCTGAACTATGTAGTTATTATGCAACTCCCACCATGAGACCAAACGCTTTATTCCCCCCCCCCCCTAGCAGGTGTACCACATTACTCCACGCTTGAGTTTGTCTGCTAAGTTTATAAGATCATCACGGGTATATCACGTTTCGACGCCAGATTACCCTCAGTGTGTGACAGTCCCCGGAAGACATCAGCCTCCATACCACAACCAGTGAGGATGGATCCCTTAGCGTCAGAAACACCATTATTCCAGAGAAAAGTCGTCTTAAGAGGCCAAGGTATAAACTACATAAAAACTCTTGACAATGTATTGACAAACGGCTCACAGACGAAACTATATACAAACAAATATAAACAACTTACAATACTGGCGTTAGGGAAATACATGTGACACACCACAAAAGGGAAAACAGTTCCATCATCAAAGGAACTGAAAGATAAACACTGACATAACGAGGACGAATAGAAGGTCACATAAATAAAAGAACAGTCAGAGAAAAACACTATTATCATCCCTGTAAAGTTTCTGCCACTTTCCAGCGAAACAAATTATTCACCATGACAAGTCCTTCCTGTACTGAACTACTCCCTAGTTCCCCCTCACCTGACCTACATATATCACTCATGGTCAAACAAAACAAAACACTGAGTTTCCCTATCGGTGAGAAACCCTTACGTTGACAACACTGACGAACAATATCTAAGATTCAACATACTGTAAAACCCATAGACACACACTTAGGGAAATCAATACAGAAATGGGGCGAGAAATTAGAGGATAATACAGACTTACAGCCACGTCTATGAGGGAACTTTTGAGGTCGGAGTCAGATTGTAATTATAAGTGTTCACCAGGGGCCGCCTAT